CTGCGTAGGTGTGATGTACGCATGTCAAACTTTTATAAAAGAATTTTAATTTTCCCGAACATTCCCTGACTTTTCTCTAATTTCCATGACCGTTTTCAATTCCCCAGATATTTCCTTGATTTTCAATTTTGTGGCAAAGCTATTTTTACGTGCGCCAATTGTTGAAAATGCATAAGGTCGATTTGACGCATGCAGTCCGACACGTACTAAATTTTCACCAGCATTCTTATCAAAGTGGCATATCTAAATAGGCAATCCGTCTCTTTCCAGCAATGCGCGTTAAGTCTATATTTCCCCGTCACAAATATAATCGCACCAGGGCCTCTCGCTGTGTTTGGAATCGTCGCCGCGGCGGCTACGTCCTTCGGATAGGGCATGTTTACGAAAGCGATTTATCGAGTAGAATTCGCGGAAATCAGATTAGCCCTTCGCGACCCGACGCGGTATTTTTCAAGTCTGCGCGCGTTAAACGGTTTCCTCTCAACAATTAAATCTGCACTTGCGCGACTACGTAATAGAAATGACAAATGAATGCGACGATAGATAAATATTCGAATTGAACGGAATTAGAGCTCGATCGGAGAAAGATCGTTGCAGTGACAATTCAGACCACGATGTAAAAAGAAAAATTTACCATTCCCCTATTGATGCGCGGTAGAAGAATGAATTTCTGGTCAAATTTGATTGGCTGTTCCAGTATACTAGCACTATTATTTCTACCCGAGTCGAAATTTTGCTCCACTTTGAACCTTAGTTTTAGATAGTCGTATATAGATTCTAGAGATTTATAATAGATTCTAATCAAATGAGAGAGAATATTCAGCCTCGTTGAGCCTGTAAATGGCAGCTATTGAAAAATTTCCTATTTTTATTGATTAAAAAAAAGTTTTCCAAGTACAGTGAAAGAAAAGAATGGCTGAATATGGCATAGCATTTTCAATTGGTTATAGCAGCCAATTAAAAATGCTATGCCATATTTTATACCATCTAATCTGCTGTAGCAGCCAATCTTTTCTTTCAGTGTAGAAGCTGTAAATTAAGTAATATTAAAAGAAATTCTCTATTTAACTGTTTAAGTATCAAAACAAGTTTAAAAGATTTGAGGAGGTTAAAAGAGATCGAAAGTAGATAAAAATTTCGACTCGGGATACGCAGGAAAATGTATTTTGGGATAAATTTGATTGTTTCCGGTATTGCTATCGCCGTTACGCGCAATGTTACACCTTCCTTTTTACACCACGATTCAGACGAGCGCGGTAGTTTCCTGCCGTTTTCCAGCAAGAGACAATGTAACGCACTGAAAAAGAAAAGATTGGCTGCAACAGCCAATTTTTGGTTGCTGCAGCCAATTGTTGGTTGCGTTAAGCCTATCCGCGATGTCAGTACAGGATTTCGATTGGCTAACGCAACCAACAATTGGCTGCAGCAACCAACAATTGCAACCAATTAAAAATACCATGTCATATTTTACCACCTAATTTGCTGCAGCAGCCAATCTTTTCCTTCAGTGTACTTTCATCTTTGCTTAACATCGGGAAATAAGGATGTAACGATTGACTGTGTTACGCCGTGCCGCCGTGTCTCTTGCTGGAAAACACCCTCCGTGATCGACCTTCCGCCGTTGTGACTCGCCCTCGGCGCCCTGGAGCCCGCAGTTGCTCGCTGCCGTAGGCCGCGCGGGACGCACTCACTCACGATTGTCGGCGTTGCATTTCTCGGTCACAAAGAGCACGATCACGAGAGTCCTCGGCCGACGACGCTCACCTTGACCAGGCAGCGCGCCTCGATCGGTGTGCGAGTCGCGCCGCGTGATCACAACAGGTTTTCATTGGAGTCGAGCCGCTCCAAATAAATCCGTCTTCCTTACCGGTAAAAGTGATCAAACTTTCGATAAGAGTGTCATGTGGCGATTGTCATCTTTCGAAAAGGGAGAGAATATCGAATTCGTAGCGTCGACTTGAATGCGTTTCGCATTAGGCGCGCTTGAAAAGATCGCGTCCCTCGCCAAGTTCCAAGTTCCACGGTAGCTGTTCGCGACTCGATTGACTTTTAATGAGACATAAACACGTGTAATACTCGCGATGAATGACGCGAGGGGGAATTTTCAGCGATAAAATTAGACGATAAGATATTTCCTTTTTGTGAGTGAAACTTGAAGGAAGTTTTGATTCAGGGTTTAGTACTTCGAAGATATTTAAAGTTGAATATTAAAAAGTTGGTAAGATAGTTGCAGCGTCGTATTGAGTTTCCGTTTTTGTGTGAGAAAAAGTCAATTCCAGGACTGGTCCGACGAATCCGTTGAGCAATACGAAGAGTTTCGACGCGCCTCGTATGTTACCTTACCGCTGAATTACGTCGCTTATGAATCGGAGGACGAAACGACAATCAGATTATTTCCCTTTAGATTGATTCCACTGTGTATATCTGTGAGAAGGTTACAGTTTTAGACCGTCGCGTCGGAGGGAAGCTCGAAAACTTATCGTTTTGTGAGTTTCGTCACTTTGCTCGCCGCGAGATAAATCGAAGACCGATTAGATGACCCAAACGGCGCGTGGATATTACGTGATTGTGTCTCGCGTATATATCACATCGCTTAACTCTCTCCTTTCTCTGTGCTTTCTTGTTCTCACTCGAGAAAAAAGGAATATTTTGTACAAACTGCAATGCTCGTCACATTATATAAATTCATCTGCCATTCGTATGTTATTTCAAAGCGATAAATAGTGAGTTCAAGCAAATGGTCCGTATTGCGTTAATAACAAACATTTGTCGGAACGTTTAATTATCGCAAAGTGTAGCTGGCAATCATGTCAGTAACAAATTAATTTAATTTTATATATTTCGGATAATTACAAGATACAATCAACAAATCAATAATGAACGACGATCAATCGTATAGCTATCGTTACCGCAAACGATATTGTAAATAATTGACTATAAATGCTGACATACAGGATAATGCTAACAGCTTAATTAACTGTTTTTGTCTTATTTTATCATTTATCAGTGTATCAAATCATTTCGAAAGAATCTTGAGTTATGACGTTTATGAATAATGTTCTCCTGTATGCCATTAAAAATACACCTCTTTGAGAACCTCGCGCGCTTTTTTATATCTACCACAAATATTTAATTGATGATGCATACCTGTGTAATAAGCTATATAATGTCTAACAACACTGTGTTTCATCTTTTAAATCACACGTGGATTCGTCAGCATATTTAATCATCAACTTCCGTCTAATTTATATTACAATTATCACAAGTAGACAAGTAGTGAGGGAGGGAGGGGGGTAATTGCACCCAATCTATGATTATTTTTTCTCGACGTCTTGGTCTGTACTCGTGTGGTTTTTTTTCCCCTTTTAAAATTATTCCCTCATTAAAGCGCGATACACTGTACATTCAGTTTAAATAAAGTGGTTTATACAATCAACGCGCTACCACTTTCTTTGCATTTCCTCCGTATCGATATTCATAGCGCGAATATTTTGCTCCAGAACATTAATTAACATTCTCCTTCTTTCATAGTAAAGTGTTACATAATAAAGAGATTTAATCATTTCAAGATCCAATTTTATGATTAGTTTCTGAGAGCACGAAGCTTACTAGTGGAATTACTTAATTGTACTAGTCTCGCGTTTATCTCAAATTGGTTTCTGACTTTTTGCGGTTTCTTTTTATTTCATTCGTCTTCGTAGGATCTCGGATATACGACTTGTCGTGTTCTCACTTAACGTTCCATCCGATTCATAGAACTTTTGCTACATCATTTTGCACAGTGCCGGTGCTCATGAGGGGGATTTGTAGTAAGTTACGTCTCTCTTTCTCCCTCTTTTCTCCTTACACGCTTTCGCTTATTTTCGTCTCGTGCAGTAACCGCGAACACGCGACTTTTCTCTCTCCGTCTGACGTTGCGCGCAGAGAATTTCGTACAGCAGACGTTGACCGACGGACAGCAAAACTC